ACCTCAAAGGAGATAAAATCTTTCAAAGTTCCCTGAAAAGAAAGAGACCGTTTTAAGTTTCTATTTTTGTCTGTTTTTGCACATTTCTAGAATTTAAGGGATAGAAAGCAGTCTCCTCCCTCTCTCTCTCTCTTTCTATCATTCTCTCTGCGCGAACATAAATAAGCTTGTATAATATTACACTCTTGTATATATCATAACAATTATCATATTGTATATCATAGATAATATAAACAAAAAGCATTTGTAACTGCATGTGCAAACATTTGCTATCTGTCATGTAATTTATAGTAAGCCAGGGACCATTAGAGAAATTTACATGGTGATACAAAGTGACCTTGTTTTACAAATGCTACGGCATAAATTGTCAAGTGTATAATGTCGCAAGCCCGCATGAAGAATCTGTTAATAAAAAACAACGTTACGATTACATGTATTTCCATGTAATTGTTGACATTATGCAAATCCCATTGCACATCAATGTGCAATGACGAAATCACGGACAATGAAAATGGTGCATACGAGTTTTCTGGTTTAATTTTTTAACGTCAAACTATGACGTAAATAAGTATGATGATAACAATATAATTCTTACATCACACAGTAAAAACCACTTTATATTTGTGTTGAAAATAGTCCACTCAAGTTAAAATTTTGTGTTGAATTATTAATATATTCGAGTGTTAATTTAATAACGTGATTATGTTATTATAAAATAATTTGAGTGAAATTAATATTCAACATTTTTTAGTAATATGATTTCATATTCAATATTGCAGAGTAACGCAATTTATGAGTGGATAAATCACATAAAAATGATGTGATTTTAAATGTAAATTTTAAGATAAATGAATAAACTACATCTTAATTTAACATATCATAAATGTTAATTGTAAAAATATTATAGGTCTATAGTTTGCTCACAAATTGTTAATTTTACCTTTTTTGTTTTAATTTTTAAATATAATATTTGTGTTACTTTCTAACATATTCATCTTGTATTAAATTAACATAAACATTTGAGCGAGCATTTGAGTGAATCGTTTGGGACACGTGAAATATGTTAAAGTTAACACAAATCTTCAACTATGCATGTGTCGAACATATCGCAAAATCGAAGAGTGCGCATTGTGCAATAAACTATTGATACACCGCGTGTTGTATCTTTCCCAATAACACGTCTACGATTACTACGAATTACGTGAGCACACACGATAGGCTTTCGTCTATCAACCGATCTCCATTATCGCGAGACAGAGATTTATGCCTGTCGACAGAAGTTCATTGATGGTTAAGGTTCGGCACTACGATCTATCTCCATTCATTTTCGAATCGTTTTCGCGTACTCAACGGACATCGAATCGTCATCGCGCATGGCTTCATTCGGTTCCGTTCCGTAAACAGCGCCTTGACGTTTCACTTTCTAGCTGGTTGCTGGCACACGCGGCGATTACACGCAGCAAACGGGAGGGCGCTGCTCGTGTGGGATCCACCGAGACACGCCGATTTCTGGGGGCCGACGATACTCTTGATCACGTTTCCGGGTCATGCCGAGTCCTCTCGCGAAAGTGGAGCACCGGTAATTCGTCACTCAAAACGCATCGATACCGCGTAACAGACATCGAGTCCTTTCCTCTCTCTTTCTTTCTCTTTCTCCTTCACTCTTTTTCTTCTCCTGTAAAAAAACTCCTTTAAGTGTCTTGTCTTTCGACAAACCGTGGACGATGTAACTCCAACGATCGTAGAAGATTCTCGAGCACCTGTTAAACCGCGCGGAGAAAAATGGTTGAAAATGGACGAGCCAAAAGAGTCTAATTATATTAATCAGAATTCCAGTTATTTAAAGAATTAGAATTTGAGTACAGATTTAACCAGAAAATTCTGATTCACACTAATTTGCAATGAGAATTCCGATTAATTCAATCAGACATTTTTCCCAGTGCGAGATTATATCGGATGACATCATTTTTATTTTTATCTGTCACTTTAGCAAATATAAATGTCCTAATATCTGTATCAACAATATCAGACTATATACGTCATTTTATTATATTTGAGTTTAAATAAAGCATCTTTTAGAGCTTAATTACACTGTAAAAAGAGTCTGGTTGCATTAACTGGAATTCTGGTTGAAAATGAACAAATCAAAATTTTCTGGTTGAATCTATTATAATTCTAGTTTAGATAATCAAAATTTTAATTGATATGAATAGAACTTTATGATTGAATCTATTATAATTCTAGTTGAGAGATAATCAAAATTCTGAGTGATATAGTTAGAATTTTCTGGTTCGTCGCGCTTTCAAATAAAAATTTTTCTCAGTGTAGAGCACTCTTTAGAGTACAGAGGTCTATTTTTAGAATCTTACAGCTTTTCCTCAAGTTTTATTATAATTCATTATTTCATTACATTTCTTGCTTCAAAAACGATAACTGTTTCAACGCCACTACAGTGACTTTCCTGTCCTGTAAAAGTCAATTAATTTTCAACATAATTTTCAATATATATTGTTTTGTGTCTTTCTAACAATAAGAATCTCAAGTATCATCGTGCGTGCCAATAATCGCGCTAAACGACAACCGAATCTCTCGGAATATTTGGACGTCACAGCTTCAATGGTCCCAAGAATATTCGCTTACTCGTCCTCCCATTTTGCCTCCGTCTGTTCTCCCGCTTCTACTCTCCTCCTCTCTCCGTTTCATCCTCGACCGCTCTCCCTCTCTCTCGGACCGGAAAATTCGGCACCGATCGACGTGCATCTCGCAAGCTGCGCCGCGTTCCAGCTGGATCGCTGGCGATTCGGAAACGAGGAGGGGGAGAGAGAGAGAGAGAGAGAGAGAGAGAAGAAAAAGAAGAAAAAGAACGAAGGGAAAAGAAAGAAGGGGAGAGAGAGAGGGCGACTACAGAGCCAACATTCCGGCGGATTGATCGCGAAGTGGAGATCGCGAATCGATACGATCGGCCTGTAGGACGTATGGTACCGTTTCTGCACGAGGCACACAAAAGCAAACGTTCTCCAACGGAGCGGGCGACTTTATTTCATCGCAATATTGCATTACACTAAGGGTCGTAAACCCTCGATCCACCGTGGGGTCGTTCAACCCTTATTATATTATAGCCTGGAGACACTCGGCCCTACATATTATTGCAACGGTGATCACCCACCGTTTCCAGTCGGCGAGCACGCGACGCTTCCTCTCGTCATCGTTTCAAAATTGCATCTTCGAATTTGCGATTTGACGGTGTTTGCAATTTTACGAATTCGCCGATTCGCGCTCTCATTCAAGGCTAAACCCGCTGAACAGGATGCGGCGGTTCGATTAGTCGTTCGTTCACCATTGTTTACCCGGACGGCAGCGCGCGACGGCGAGAGAGACGCTGCGTTCCGCAACTCATCGGCAGAAAAAAAGAAGAGAAAAAGAAAGTGTTGCAACCTTCTCTCGGTCCACGAACTGTATCGCGTTCCCGTGGACGCGCAGCCGCCAATCAGAAATTATTCACAAATACCGAAAAGCAATATGGCCGTTAGTAGCTGCCAATCGGAAATTGCTCGTAAATCCGAAAAGCGATTCACAGACAAGAAGGGTAGGAGGGGGAGCGCAAATTCCGGAGCACGAATGATCGGGGTACGATTTGACAGTTAAACACGCGACTGTCATCCGATGTTCCGATGTTAACTACGTTGCTCCTTTGTCGTTGCAACTGCGAGCGAGAGAGTACTCCGATTGACAGTTTTAACATTGCGCACATTCTACGCTACCTAACCTCAGCTGCAAACGCATAGAGCGTATACTCGAAGCAGCTAAACATGAAATACATGCAGCGGCTCGTGAATATTTAGAACAGACTGTTCCCTATATATCAGACTACAACACTAAATTTAGTCCCGAAAGCAATCTTTTTTTTTCCCCCTTTTCACTGGACACAGGTTTGAGGTCACCTCTTTCAGCACACCTTTCCAAAGTCCGCTGTTCCAAGCGAGGCTGTCATCAGGGGGGACGGAAGGAAAGAAACCGGGGGAGAATCGTGGGTGGATAGAAGCGAGGCCGGAGAAAGAAGAAGCTGTGGAGAAATGGGCGGATATCGAAGCGAGGGCGAGCAGGAAACGCGGCGCGTGCCCCCGCGTGGATACGTAGTTCCCAGGGAACAAAGGCGTGGAGTCTCGACGAGACGAAGCGAGGAAGAGACGGAGCGGAGACGAGTCCTGGAACCTGGAGGAGAGAGGTTCGACGGTGACGGCGACGGCACGGAAAAGCCGTCTTTGTCTCGTCTCCTCGCTCTCGCTCGCTCCCTCGGTCCGTCCCTCTTCGTTCACTCCAGCTCTCACTCGCTCTTTCTCCGTTGCGCTCGCTCGCTCGCTCGCTCGCTCGCACGCTCACTCGGCTTACCCGTTCTCGGCAAGGGGATCCTGTTTCCGTTTTTCCGACGCGACCTCCGCACGTAGCTGCGCGACGACGAAAACGACGCGCTCGGCATCTTCGTGTCGTCGGCGGCCCTCGGCGGTCGTCCTCGTGTCCGTCCTCGTTGCCGTCGTTGTCCTCCTCTTCCTCCACCTCCTTCTCCTCCTCCTCCTCCGTCGCTGCCGTCTGCCTCTCCTGTTCCGCTTCTGTCTATCGCGATTCGTCGCACTTGCCGACTACTACGAGGATACGTCGCGAGGATGATATTCGGCGGTACCCTTCCCCCGTCCCCGGTAGTAGGGCAGCCGCCGCGGTACCGTGTTCGGCGGACGCTGCCCACGGCAGAAAAGCTGCCAAAAGCTTAGGATGCACTACACAATAGCGACATTACCACCGTGCACGGCGGCCATCTTCTTGGTCTCTGCTCGCCGACTGGCCCAGAGGGCAGCCGCCAATCGGACAAGTTTCTGCCCCGCGAGTGCGAGTGCGTGCCAGTACTGCCAGTGCCGTCGTCCACCCCCCACCCCCCATTCGACTCACACCACACACCGTCGAGTCTGGTCGAGTCTCGACTGGTCTCGACTTCTACCGTCTCCAACCCTCTACCGCTGCGGCGCCTCTATCTCTCTTCTCTTTCCTTCTCTCTCTCGTCCCCGCGATCCTCCGCTAACGCCACGGGGCTTATTACCGAGCCCCCCTTCCGCAGTGGAGCGCGACACAGGCGACCGACATCGGTTATGGAGTTATGGAGGCCGCGGAACCAAGTACCGATAACTCGCCGAACTGCGCCACGGCGATCCTCGCGTGCCTCGCGCTCTCGATCGTCTACGTGGCGAGCCTCTATGTCTGGAGTTCGCCGCACAACAGGTACGTTGCGGTAACGCGTCCGGCGTCGGTGGCGGACGGCGACGGCGACGGCGACGGCGACACACTCTCGAGTCTCGATGTCACCCTGCTCTTCTTCCTCTAATCCTCTCCTTCAAAAACGTCCAGTCCATCCAGCGAGACTCCTCGCTTGGAGGAGGCTCGCGCCTCCGTCTTTTCCGAGCACACTTGTCTGCTCGGTAAACCGCTCGCGAACGCGAACCGTCCCGCACCGACCGGATGGATGCTGTGACTGACGCACGCAGTTGTCCGCACGTGGTGGCGCTCCCTGCGCGGCTCCCTGTCGCTCCTGCAATGTCTACCAATTTCTGGACAAACGGCAGCCAGCGCCGCACGGCGAAACCCGTGAAACGGAATTCCGGCAATGTTACGCACGCGATGGAGGAGACATCGAGTGCGCCACCTAGATCGTACACGATTAACGGCGTCCCTTTGGCGCGATATTCGAATCCGAGTGTGACGTTAACTTTATCAAAGTAAAAGCGCTTTATAATTTTGTTGAATAATTATTCCAATTTATGACGTATTTCCATGATGTTTATTGTAATAATTTAGTTTATTTACTTCTTTCTCAAATCTTAATTTTTAAAGCAATTCTAGTGTTAAAGAAGCTATTTGCGTAATTAAACATAATTTCGATAACTATAATAATTATAAAGCAAGTAGCAAGTAATTGATAATCCTATCAATTTCGAGTAATGTGTATATCAGAGTAATCAAAATGCTTTGTAATTTTTTGTAAAAATCGTCCGAATTTAAAACGATCTGTTTTCTAAGATCTTTTGTGACGTTTGTCGCAGCACGTGATGATAAACTTTCTCTCTTCAGTCTTTAATTTTTTCAACTAAATATATAAATATATAATATAGTGTAGATTTAAAAAAAAATGTCCAAGTGATTCTAGTATGAACAGGTGTTTGCGCAAGCAAATATAATTTCAAATTATAATAATTATGAAGCAACTGGCAAAATTAATAATTCAATTAATTTCCGCAATACATTACATATAATTTTGACGTTAAACTTTACACTCGATGGTTTATGTTTCAGAGAGCATCCATCGACCATAAAGAAACGATTTTTTAGCGTATTTATCATGACTCTCGTTTCGCCGGTGTCCTTGTACTTTGGACTAAATGAGAAGATACTTCAAAAGGTATTTTTCGTTTACACGCGATTTAAACTATATTCTCTATACAATATAATTATTTTTATTGTACCTAACAGACAACCATCTGGGAAATGTTGGGTCTTCGATGGACGGGTCTGATACAGGCGACTGTGATATCGTTGCTCCTAACGATGATCCTGTTCCTAGGTCCCTTGAGTTTACAGGGATTCAATGGGCTGTGGCGATTGTACACCGGTTGGTATCCAAACTCGACTTGAGAGTCTAATGTGCGTCCATTAATGCAGATTAACTTTAATTTTGGTTCCAACTTACTCTTCCTTTTCTAGTTTTAAAAATTAAGAAAAGTTAAAGTGTAAGTTGGAACCGAGATTAAAGTTAATCTGTATTTGTGAAAATTGGCATTAACGTCTAATTAGTTAATAGCTGTACATTTATCATAGAGCCCATGTATTGGCTGGCGAGTGTACAAACTCTAACTTGGTGGAGAAATCAGGTGGTCGCTCCGTTATCCGAGGAATGGACCTTTAGGGCTTGCATGTTGCCATTACTCCTGCAATGCTTCACCCCGACTACTGCCATATTCGTGTGCCCTCTATTCTTCGGGGTGGCTCATTTTCATCATGTAGTGGAGAGAGTAAAGATGGGAATGAGCATCAAGCACGCATTGTTTATATCTTGTAAGTTTTGAGGCGAATACTTGGAATCTATGGATGCTTTTCATTTGATAACTCAAGTCAACACAATATTATTATTCTATCTTTGTTACTCAATGAACGCCAAGGAAGAATGTTGCTTGTGTCACCAAATGGAAAGCACCCTATAAAGTCTAATGAACTAAAATAAATTATGTTGAATATAGGTTTTCAGTCTACGTATACGACGTTATTTGGAGCGTACGCGGCCTTTCTTTTTGCGAGGACAGGTGGGATCATTTTACCTTTTTTTTATTCTAAAATTATGAGCGAAAGAAGTTTTTCGATTTCATGTATTTTTCTTAGGCCATTTTGTTGCACCATTTGCTGCGCATTCATTCTGCAATCACATGGGATTTCCTGATCTTTCTGAGATAGCGGCATACAAGGATCCACTGAAAAGAGCTGGATTGATGTGTCTGTTTGTGATTGGCTTGGTCGCCTGGTGTTACTTATTGATGCCGATGACTCATCCATCATTGTTCAATAATAATTTATTCTGGACTAAACACTTTATATGAGACACGTCCGATCTCTAACAAATATTAGGATATAACAAATACTAGGGTTAAATGTTTTTATGCAGAATTTACCGCAATTATTCCACCGATCTTCCGGTTTACAACACACACATTGTTGTGGAATATTTTATATTTATGTTTAACAAAGAGTACAATACCTATCTGTCGAAAAATAATGCAGAAATTAACATTAGACTAATTTTAACTATATATTCGATAACTATAATATTCGTATAGCTATAATTTAACTAATCGTGCAATTCGGCATTGTTACAAAGTATATCACCGTAGTGCCTGAGAGTTAAATTTTTATAGTGGTGATTACGAATGTTACAACTGTTAGATGAACTTGTTCGCAAACCCAAAATGCGAAGAATCTCCAGCTCTAATTATTATTTACGAATTGCTGCACATACTTATATGCCGCAATATTATATTATTTCATAACCACAATTCGTTAAATGTTATCGATATTTTCAGACAAAGAGAAAGATTTTTATAAATAAAAATTATAATATAGATTATTATAGAGTTAATGTAACCTACTGAGAAAATTTCTAAAACGATCTTTCTAATCGTCTACTTTTATAACAGTCTCTGTGTATAGTGTATATAAAATGTCCATATATACATGGCAGTGATAAATATTCAAACAATAAGCAGTATACATCTCCATACACATACCAATGGTTTATTTGAATCACAGAAGTAACGCGGTTGCGCAATAATATTACTATAAGTTTTATATATGTACACTGATGAACACGTATACATTATATATGCAGTGAAGCTGTAAATATTTATGTAAATAATGAGAGTACAATTCGATCTTTGAATATATGTGTAATCTTTTAATTGCATACATAATGTATACCATTCTTTAACCAAGAAATAAGTGGTAAAATCAACTTCTTAAATAATATTCAGGATATAAAATGTTGATACAATGAATGTTGAAATAATGTTAAGTGTTTTACACTCGAAGCAAGATCGCTATATAGAAATTGATATTCATATAATGATGACATAATGATGTATAACACCGATTTACAATGTAAATCTATCAAAATTCGAAACTATTTGGTAATCTTGTTTCGAGAAATTAAAATAATGTGACAAATAACATGATTCCGTGCATGATTCTACGCATTTCGTATTTGATTCATTTTATAACATTGATACAGAATATATAACTGAATATACATATATACATAATATATAAACAAAATGTTTAACTTATATTATCTATCAGTTCTTGATTTTGTCAAATATTTCTTCCTTCCCTTATCTTATTAAACGAGCTCACATATAAAAGTTTACATTGAACAATATCAATATCATAAAATCTATCTCTCTTAATAGCGCCATTTTGCAATAAAACAAATAACAATAAATAGCAAGAAAAACGTATAATTATGAATTTCTAGACACTTATAGAATTTTTGAAACAGTAAATTTTAGAAAAATTTTGTTATAATGTCAACAGCAATATTCTTGCGTATAATATTCAATTCAAAAGCGATAGTGATGTTATCAAGCTTTCTTAAAAATAATTTAATAAAACAGTACATATATTTAAGCACAAGAGCAAATTCTCTATTACAATAATGATTTCAACAATAATGGCTACAGAGTTTATAAATGCAGTCATATCTTTCGTTACGTTATTTTTAAATTGCACTGTTTGAGTAGACAGATAGCAAACTCCGGTCTCATTACACATTGAAAATGCAAAGATGGCGATTTAGGAACTATGGCTACTGACTTTTTGACGGTTTATAATAAATAAATAATTAAATAAATGCAGATTCTGTTTGTGTGCACTTTGGCACGACATACCTTGCATCAGGCACATCTTTATGTTTGACTTGGTCCAGGCGTTGGTTCTGGATTTTGCGATTGATTGAGAAACAATACGTTACTTGACTTAATTCTAGGTCCAGCTGCGAGCAACGAAGGAGACGGACTAATGCAAGGCGTTGAGCAGTGGCTGTTGCTTAGATCACATTGGTCCAACAACTTCCAAAGCGCTTCTGGCGTAGGTCCACCGGAGGTATCTATTGTAAAAAAAAAAAAAAAAAAAAAACACGGAGATAATAAAAATTTGACAATACATTTTAATTCAACCGACGAAATTAATTACAAAAAGTTTTGTAGAAAGTTAATATAAAATTAATATTTATTATAAAGAAATAATCGCAATAATTTATATAGAGGCCACTTTTTTTCCTCTCTAAAATACAATATGAATAATAAAACAAATTATTAGAAAATAAATAAAGGAAAAATATAGAATAAACAGAATAAATATAGAATAACATGGAATAAACATAGTTTGTTTGTTTCCTATAGAACATTTCTTAAATATACGATTTATGTTAATTTTCTACTTCCTACACTATTTCACGTATATGAGTCATGCTCGCTGATTCCGTTACGTCACACAACGGGAGAGAGTAACGTACCTCGAGTGGCATTGAAAGACGGATCCAATGCCGTTGTGAGATCCCACATCTGAATGGTGCCGTTAGAATGACCAGTGAATATGAAACGTCTGGGCCTTGAGCCCATGCGACTAGAACCTTCACACTCGTGTACATAGAATGAGCTTATGATGCTGCCGTCCACTGACTGTATTACGCAAACTCTTTTCCCATTCGACGCTAATCGTACGAACAACTGATCAGTTTCGGGTACGACTTTTTGTACGAATACTTGCTCGTCATCTTGTTCGCCGAAAGGTCCTATGAATATTTTATTCGTATATTAAATAAACCAAAAAGATAAAATTCGCATTTTAAAAAATATTTAATAAAAATAAAAACGCGTTAAAATATACGTACACATATATAAAAAGTATTATTTAATAATAATTTTAAATTATTAGAAAGAATGGTGATAGTTTAAGAGCTGCGATATTACAACATACCGAAATCGTTGCCGGCATTATAGCTAACGCATGAGTCAATTGCTTCCAAAGAAACAATTTTGAAGCTTGCCTCTGGCGTCGATCCCGGTTGAGTCGAAATCATTCCGCGGAATCTGGTCACTGCCCAACTTCTGACGTGATTATATTCCGAGCAAACCGACACTAAGTATTTTTCCGAGAGTGTTACCTGTAATAATATAATTTTTGCACATAAGTTAATATTGTAATTTCATGTACAATATTAATATAAAATTCTATTGATACTGAATGTACTTTTGTTACGCTGCTTTGATGCACTGTAAAGGTTTGGAATAATTGCGGACCGTGGCCAACTGTTTCGGGATGCTGAACGATAACTCTGACACTTCCGGATTTCGTACCATAGGCGATTTCTATCCAATTTCCGCAGAGACCTATATTGGGGATTGATATACTTTTAGAAAAATGTGCTACATATTGCATTAATCACCTGATACACTTTAAGAATTAGATTGAATACATCTCAGATCGTACATATAATTTTAACACTATTATATATCAATTAAGATTTTCACTTCAATCTGTACTTATCCAATTTAATATTATATGAAATTTACGGATAAGAAAAAATTTTAATAGTATATCAGAGGATTAATTACTGATATAATAACTACGATAATGAAACATTTCAAAAATGTAGACGTAACGTGAAGTAATCTTTAAATAACATACATATTCAAATGAATACTATTAATAAAAAATAATGTTTATGATGTTTCGAAGCTTACAATGCCTCATGCTGCACATTGCAACAATAAGCAGAAGCCAGTTATAACAAATAATATATATATATATATAAATATATATATAAAATTAAAATTATAATGTCTTATAATTAAGCAATAACACGATTACGTGGGTAGTAAATAATGTTATTTAAATTTAATTTTTGCAGATTTAGTTCAAAAAAAGTAAAAATTACCTATAAATTTGTCACTACCAACGAAAAAAAGTACACAAGCAAAGATACATGTTTTCTATTACCTCCCTTTCCCCTCTCAGATGCTGGCATGGAACATATTACTATGAATAGAAAGAGCAAGCAAGCAGCTAAATCAGATTAACTGAATCCACTGCGTAAAGTATGCGAAAAAATAAAAGAACATCGCGTTAGTACAACTGGACGCATAAGGATAGCAGGGTTGTGTATAAGTTGTGCAATCTAATATCATTTCATAAGTCCCATGTGAATTCGTACTCTCGCACATACAAAAAGACATGTGTTCGCATTCATTCTATTAATTATAAAATAAATAGTTTTGTGACAGAGACATTTCTATATATAAGTATTTCTTTTTATATTTTAATACGCAAAAAATATGACTATGCGCCAGTGCATCGATATAAAACTTAACGCTATCTGGAGAGGAAGAGGGTATTTGCTGTTTAATCACACGAATCATGTTTGATGCAGTCAACACAAAGATGAAGGCGGATGACGCTTCGTTTTGTACGTTGAACGTAAGAAAGCAGAAAGTCTGCTTACATCGACCCATACTTGCCTTGTGCTATTTATCCAGTTGTACGAGAAATGATGAAGCAAAGAATGTAATAATAAACTCTCATTAATATCTTTAAGGACCAACACATCAAACCTTATAATATTCCTATAATATCTTAATAAATAAAATAGACGCTGGTTAGTAAAAACATTTACATATATATGTGATTATTAATGATTCGTTATTGTGTTTAATGTTATTCTATATGTATGCACAGCAACTGAAAAAATGATCCTTGCAAAATGAAGCTGCTGAAATGGTGACGTTTGTTATTACATTCTGCATTAAGCAGCTTTAATAAACAATCTTAGTAAAATACGTCACTTGTTCGAATCGGGTTTTAACAAATAGTCCTAGTTGTCTCTAAAGGAAAAAGTTTTTACTTTGGAATTCTAGATTTTTATTATTTGATGACATTCTTACATTAAGATAAGAATAATCAATAAAGAAAGACTTACTAGTTTTCGGCGTCAAATACACAGATATTGCAGTTATGGGATCGTAACTCGGATCTCGATATAACTCGGTCACGAGTAGATCGTTATCTTTCATTCGCAAAGGAAACTTTTGCATGTCTGTAATTCATATAATAATCGAAATATATATGATTATAGAAATATAATTCTTTAAAAATTAGCTTGTGATCTACAAAATGATCTAAATCCATTAAATATTTTTTTAATGATTCAATTACTTTAAATATTTAAGAGAGAGGGGGAGAGAGAGAGAGAGAGAGAGAGAGAGAGAGAGAACATAATTTTTATACTCTCTCATAATGCTCTTCTAATATATAAATTGACAATTTGTACCAAGAATTTTACTTACAAATATAATATATTTTTTGCTTACCAATATAATAAATAGAACCATTATTGCAACCTAATAGAAGAAAAGATCCAGCCGTGTCAAATGACAGGATGGGCACTACATCCTGTATCTGCCAATGATGAGTCATCGCGTGCCACACACCAATTTTTCCAGTCGGCGATAATGCAACTAACTGGCTGCCAATGAAGAATAAGTATTCCACACGCACATTTAAATTAAATGTGCCCACATTGATTTTGATCCCTTCTTCGGACACACCCCAAAGTCTTACTTGACTGCCATAGGAGATCGCAACCATCTTACCATCCGCGCCACTTCCCATCTTTGCATTTATTGCCACGCGCTCTATTATGCATTCGATATGCGGACTGGTGAACACGTGTTGCCATCCAGACGAATCCTTCAGCCGATAGCATGTGATAAAATGCGCGTAAGCAATCACTATCCAGTTGTGGTGCGCTTTTATGATTTGTACTCTCAGAGGGTCTACCCATGATGAAACTGCAATCAAGTAATTTTATAAATATTAGAAACGAAAACAAAAAATGGTTTTACAAAAAAATGATTCATTGGTGCTTACCTTGCTGTGATCCAAATATTAAACCGATATCATTTTTATATAATTTATTCAAATCAGCTGAATTGTTCCTAGCATGTCTCAGATCTAGAGATGGTGTGCGAGAATGCGGAAGACCGCGTTGTGGCAATCGGTAATCTAAAGAAGAATTTCTCATATGGGTTCCTAATGCCCCTTTATGATTTTGCAGTCCTATGGCAAAATAATTATTTGTCAGTTTTCTTTTTATTAATGTTGAGTTATTCAACGTTAATTAAATATTTTAGATGTACATCTATTAACCCTTCAGAGCTGATGCCAGAATCT